GAGAAATGTCAGGACGGAACAATAACGGAAGAAGTATATCGACAAATAGTCTTCACTCCAAAAAATAATAGTGAAACTCTAAACCCCCCCCCCCCACCGCTCTTATCGCTGTTGATACGACGAGTCGGTGATATTAAATTCAGCCATTTGAATTCGCTACAAAAGGGTAGCGGCGGACAATATCAGTCGGGTAGGTAATCGGGAGTGTTAAATTCAGATTAGTGAAAACAGTGCTTCGACTGACTAGAAATTCCATCCTTCTGGGTGTCCATTGCCCTTAAGTGTGTCAAAATGCGGTTTCGTCACAGAGAGCGGTGTATTAATCGCTTTATCTCCTTTATTAATTGTTCCCGAAAACGGTTCGTAGAATCTGAAAGGGGGCATGGAAATCTACACACACTATCCTACACCTTGTTGAAGCGTTGCGGGAGGATTCTACTAGACATTTACCAGCTTCGTTTATTTTTACTTTGTCAGTCAGTTATTTTTTTTGCTGAGGTTCAGTGTTTTTGTGCATGTTGTGATCACATTAGACTTTACTGGACTATTTCCTTAATTGCCAGCGCGAAGAAAAGGTTCGGCTGTCCCGGTTTTGGTAGCTACTTTGTGCCTTTTTACCATTTTAGACGGACCAGCTGGATTCTGTGCGTAAGCGATTGCATTTACGATTCTGTCACATGTCCTATGCTTCGCATTGGTCGACTTCTCGATACACCCATAGGCAACTGCATCCGATTTTCAACCGCCATATCTTTCCAAATCAATTATATTACCACTCGCGAGAATAGTAAACGATGGTCTGCTGAAGCTATGCCTGTATATTTTTCTGGCTCAGGCAGCTAAGGATAAATGGCTATAACTTTTGATATCACTCCCAGAGTGTGAATCTTAATATTTTGAGGTAAGCATTGCGATATGCACAGAAGAACTATTCAAGATGGTAGTCTGCTGGGCTACGTGTCATGCATCTCTTGACAGTATCATAAAAAATACCTTGGGCTGGGAATTGTCGTGGAATATCAGTGTTCCTAAATGGTATATCACATAATAAAGTAAAGCATAAAGTAACTTCCTTCACCAGCAATATCATCCAAGGCTATTGTCCTTTCTCCTAGTTGTTCCACATATATCCAAAATGAGGACAACCTATGGAAAATGTTGTATGAACGAATAATTGATTTATTCGAAATTCCTGTTCATATACTACTTCTCACGATTTTTCGTCTAGAAATTGGTACTACATTCTTCTTACACTCAAGAACTTGAAAATTACTACGAAAAAATATTATCCGGGCTTTGCGGATGGGATGGGTGTTTTTCACAAGTGTGGTTTTTTCACATGAGTAATAGCTCCAATCCTAACAGCCCGGAAATATACTATATCAAAAATTGCAAAGAACATTTTCACAAAAAATACTCACCTTTGCAGCTAACCACTTATTATCTGGAGCTTCTGTCACGAATTGATTCACTTTTTGAAAGTCCTTTAAATTTTTGGTCTTGCGTCGTTGATTTTTGTTCTTTAGAACAACATTCAAATTAAGATAACCGTTGATGGCAATTGTGTGGCGCAAAGTTATTACATTTTTAAGCATGGAATAAGTTGCCACAGCGTTGTGGTTTTCAAGTGGGAACTGAATAGAAAGTTGAAATAACTCAAGAGAATGTTTTTATTTATTTCCCTTCAAATATTGTTCTCTTGTTTCAGTTGGATGAATTTATCATAAGTGTTGTGGATATGTGTCGTTTTAGCATGCTGGGGACGATCTCTATCTTTATTGATGAATTCCATGTCTTTATCTGATATTTTCCCATCATGCTCATCTTCCTGGTGGTAATTTTTCTCAGAAACCTTCCCAATGTCTTCTCCCCTGTCCAACTAATCTCTCGAAAAATTTTTATAGTCATCTGTCGTCCATTCATCTGTTCCTCCTTCTTAATTGCTATAAAGCGCCCGTCCATCAATTTCTCGAATTAATCGATCGCTTTTGAAAAACAATATTAGGGCATTCCCTGCTTGCACGTTGCGGGCCTAGTACTGCACATACACACATGGTGCAATTTCTATACGCATGTTCATTTCTCTTGCATGACTCGATTGGGCTTAACAGGCTCATCTAATTCCTGCCGGATGTTTCAAGCATCGCTTGGGCCGCCCCCAAACAGTCCATCAAACGGAGCTTTGGTAATTATTTTGTAGATTCACACCACAGATTATACCCAGGCCCAGGCTGAATTGACCATGGAATCCATGTTTACGATGAGCAGTTACTCGAACAAACACTGTCAATGAGTAGTGCGATGTCTAATATATTCCATAAGTGTGAGATTAGGTTCAGCAGTCGGTCCAATTCCCCCGTGAGTGAAGGTCAACGTGTAGAAATATATAAGTCCCGCGGAACTCCAGAATATTTGTGCGGACTTAGGGAGTGTTATGCCCCAGAAATACCATTAAATTAAGAAATAGTATTAGGTAATTTCTCATTGACCTGGATAATATGACGACACGCGAAGTAGCACATATTATCCAAAACATGTAAAATCGAATCAAAGAATGTAAATGTTGTAATATAAACTAACCCGAATATTTGTGCATTAAGTCCACATATATTCGTCATAATGTGGATCACTGGGGTGCAGTGTCGGCACTTCGCCCCATCAACGGCTATGGCCTTTACGTACACCTGGGACGTCACCCGATGTCTCTCCAGGTGTAAAACAAAGATAGAACACTTGTTGCAATCGAATCCACGATGAAATATAAGCTCGTGAGTTCGTTGCCACTGGGTCAGTTAGTCAGGTTGTCAAACACAGACAATTAGTAATCCGATTATTCGTTACGTCACTTTTCTTGTAATTCATATTGCCTGATATTTACGGCATTAATCAAAGACTATAATTACTGAATAAATCGTTTAACCGCAAAAAAGTTGAATCTCCCTGAGAGATATTCATTTCTAATTATCTACGAGTGATCTATCCCTATCATCGAACCCAACCGCTCGGGTCTATAACAGGAGTGTGATGTAGGCTTTCTCGAACACCCGAAAGAAGACACTATCATGGTGATCTATGTGAGCGCTTACTTAAACGAAACAGTGAGACTTTCATAATACGAGGAGCGAATTATTCTCGACGATTAAGAGAGATCACACATCTCACCAACAGAGTGTCTACATGTGGAGAGATCTGCGACTGATAGGTGCCGTCGCTCAGTTCTCACCTTCCAGGTGAAATGTTAATACTCAATTATTATCAATGACCGTAGATGGACAGTGGAAGAAAGTGGTGTTTGAGAGCAGAGCACCTGTTTCTGGTAATCGCATTCCTTTTCCCAGGCGCACGCTGGCCGATCTTTGTATCGTCCATTGTTTATAGGTGTACGAACATATGTGGCGATGGGACCAAATACATAGCCACGTCCACGTCGTCGACCATGCGTGACGCAAAGAGCACTGGAGTTAGGGTATTCAACTATTCCATTTAAATCTGCGCACTTAGGAACATACGCGAAGGTAAATAAAAGCAGGATACTCACGATCGAGTGAAAATCATGAAAAATTCCGACCTGTATTAGGACTAGAGTATTGGTGTGAATCTACTAAATAATTACCGAGCTTTTTATACGTCAGTGAGGAAAATGTTTTTCAGAAAAGAAAAGAGAACTTTTTTTTGTACATGGTCATTTTGTGGAGCGCATGAAAGGGATTGGTAATGAACTCGTCTCTCCCACATGATTGTGGTAAACTCGATGTTATTTATCACGGGTGATCGTATATTTCTTAATTTTCAGTTTATGTGAATTATTCCCCAAACAAAAAAAAATACAAGCGTTCTCCAAAATCTTCTAAACACATGTTCATTTTTTACGTAAATGACGATTGCAAGATATGCCAGCGAGGTCTTAAATAGTTTTTCAGCATAAAAAATACAAAGTTGTACTAAATAATAGGAGAATACACATAGAAAAGAATATTTCAACCGAGTGCTTTATGTAAAAAAATGAAATAAATATGGAATTAGGGGCCTCACCAATGATCTTATTCAAACTGGCAAGGGTTACAGTATATACGCTAGGCAGGTATCAAAAACGATTAGTTCGGTTAGGTTTTATCATTCCCTATCTGAATATTCATTCACATGTGTTGTATGCATTTGCCTGCAAGTGGATTAGTTCGTTTTTCAACGTTTTCCACTTGGTCATTCGATTTATAACTCATTGTAAAATATGTCAAGATGACAATTCATTTTGGAGGAAATTATTCTCAGAGAAGTTCATTCGGGGTCAATTGATGTCGGAAGAATTCAATTGGGCGAAATTTTTGGTGGCAAATTTACTCCGAGCATCGTTGAAAATCATGAACCTGCATCCAATTCGGCGCTTCAATACGAATTTCCCCTATAAATTGATCGTTCCTGTCGTGGTGATGAACAATAGGTGAAGCCCTTAAACTCCATATTTACCGCTAGTTACCGGTATTTAACGGTATACTGTAAGATTCACAATATTTCTGAATCTTTTCAGCTAAATTTTGTTATCAAAAATTGGCAAGATACCGGACGGAAATGACATAAAACGAAAAAAAATGAAAGCTTAATTTAGGTCAGCAGTTTAAGTGAATTACCACAAATTCGGAGCGTCTCGGCAAATTAAATTAGGAAAACCATAAGATTTAGAACTTGAGAACATGTTTTTATAGGTCTTCAAATATAATGATAGTGGGGCATTCTCAAACCTATGTCATGAATAATGAAAAAAAAAAAAATTTAATGCTGATTACTATTGAGTATTATTACCTGTGGTGAATTAATGCCTCCATCAACATTATTTGAAACCTCAGACGACCATTCACCAACTCCTGATTCAGCCTCAACTAAGAATATAATCCAAAATGTATGTAATTAGAAAACTTCCAGTATTATAATTTTTTAATTAGATGGGGAGAGTGGAAATTAACTATTTTTTATTATTTACCTCTAATAAGTTGTTGATAACATAGAGCACAAACCCGAGAATCCATATTTCCTTGATATTCAAGTTTATATTTCATACTGCAACATTTATTGCAAAGTACCTGTTGAAGAATTCATATGTTAATAGTATTGTAACATCAAATAACGAGGTTGCGACATTCAAGGTATTATCTAAACCTGAAACTGAGATTAAGTTGACACATTGTTAGAATTCCGTCAAAGTGCACAAAACCTAAACCGCATCCTTTCTGATGTCATTGTATGAGATTTCAAGTATACATATACTGATGAAGATCATGATTCGGGGTGCATTTAAATGTAAGTATCGGACACAATACAGCTTTATGGGCAGCTTGTAGCACAAATCATATTGAGACTTGCCAATAATTACAAGAAAACAATTAAAGAAAGAACGGCAATCTTTATTTTCATGCCGTATTTGGCTATCGGCTGGACACTACGCTGTATTTGACTTTTGTGCGCACATCGCATTTTTCACGCGAATGAGACTTGTTCTTCTGGATGAGCTGTTTTCACATACCTCATCATTCATGTCAATTCTTTCGTTTTTCCTCGGAAAATACGACGAGAATGAGTTATGGTATAAAACTGAAGATCCAGACTCTCTTAGCGTAACTCAGGACGCACCACGTGGAGGTGAAGTCTGCTCGCATCCCTTGTGGTAAAAAAAAAGGAGTGCACAAGAGTTCATGAGTTGTTCAATGTTGCCACCATTGACACTCAATTCTGTGACGAAAATATGCAACAAGCATTTGCAGAACCTGGGGCATGATGATTGTAATAGCGTCCTTGATACGCTTCTGTAAGTCTGCCAGAATGGTCGGTCGATTTATGTAAACAATATCTTTGACGCTGCCCCACAGGTAGTCATCAAGTGGCATGGGTAGATCCCAATCAAACGATTCGGGAAGGCTCCATTCAGATTAACCCCCACAGCTTGAGCGAAATGAGGTGGAGCGCCATCCTGTTGAAACCATCTTCTCTACCAGTGCTGATAACTGATTACGCAAGAATTTCAGGTAACTCTGACCAGCAATGTTACTATCACTTCCTCAATAATGCTGATGATCAATATGCTGAGTCCAGTGACGATTTTCCCTTGACGAATAATGGCAATTGTGTTGATTCAATCAACCAGTACTCTGGAACATTGCCTCGTCACTGAAGAGATCGTACCAGAAGAAATTGCCCAATTACAGAAGTCAACACGATTCCATTAGTCGTGCGCGGGCAATGTTTGAGTCAACGGTGTGTGATACTAAATGTCGTTCGATTTCTCTCCAACTGATGTGCGGATTCCTGTGAATCATAGCAAGAATGGCAACAGCTCGAGGATCATTAGAATTAACACCTTGTTGTTGGAGTTGTCGTAATCGATAAATTGATCGTCTCATATAATTTCGTTCAATGTAGCAAATTACTGCATGTACGGGATGGCGTCGACGAGGAGGGTACCATTCTCGATATATCCTGGCAGCGGCTCCATAGAATTCTCGGCACTCTCCTAATACGAGTAAATTATCCATAATTTCATTCGCTAAATACATCGTAATAGCTTTAATGAAATTACAGGTGATACTATCTCGATTCTGGTTGAATTGAAAATTTTTTTCGAATAACATAATCTCCGAGGTAATGGGGAATTCGTTGTTATCGTTTACATTTCTGAGTACGGTTGGTGAATGGATTAGCGGAACAATCATCCACGCAATCACGCATGAAGAATGTGTGAATCTTGAGTTTGATACCAGAACTCATTTTCGTCGCATTTTTCCAGTGAAATCGAAGGAATTGACATGAGTGATGATGTATTTTTACAAACTTTCCCAAGTGTTCAAGCTTTTCCAAGGAGATGTGTGGAGCTAAATGAATTGCGAGAAAAATTTAAAATCTTGAGAAATTGACGTCGAACAGATAAAGGATTTATCCCGGGCTTCATTTCTTGTGAAAGCCTTCCGAAAAAGGCATTTTCACAGACTTGGCAATTTCTTTTTTATTAAAAAATTGGTTCAATGCTCGTAAGGCTATCCGAACAAAATTTGCATTTTCTTTACTATTAAAAAAGGAATCATACTTGAGTATGAAATCTCGAATGAGCTTAGAGGGGAAGTTCTTCAATATCTATAACAACCTCGGGTGACTTATAAAAATGAGCCAAAATGTTAGTGGTGGTAAGATCAGTTGGATTGATAATTAATAATCCAAACATTTTCATAAAACAAGTGGAAATTAGCGACCTTTATTCGGCACTTCAATAGAACGAAGGTGATTCAATCAATTCCCAAAGAAGGCAGATTTTATAACAAAATAGAGAAATATTAAATGGAAATTAATAATTGATCGAAATCGATTAAATCAAATTTCTGTATTGCTCACCTCAAAAAATTATGGGTCAAATATCTCTGAAGAGAAAGTTTCCCTTCGAGAAATTGGAAATTTTCCTATTTTACTTTTCCTGCGACCATGTTTCTGCTGAGTATCCCCATTACTCTTACCTATGCCCAGGGCACCATGGACCCGAAGGGGGCGCAATCATAAACTTTAGGGTTTGGGACAATTAAGGATGTTTAACCGCTCAAGTGAGCAACCGTGTTGGAAAATGTTTATAAACATTGACGCTTGATAAACTAGTGTGGTAACGCTCGAGTTTTGATCGTGCAACACCGCATGTATTGAAGTACTCCGCCATCCCTATTCCCTCGTCCGCTGTCTTGCCAACATTACTCAACTGTAAGAGCAACATTCTCAATATTTAACAATCGTAATGGCGAATTTTTGTCAGATGTTTCCTAAAATCCGATAAAATATTTCCCATCTTGTCAAATGAATGAGTTTTCAAATATGATATTGAGTGCGTATCCTAGTGGCCTTTTCAATCAAAGCTAACGCAGTCATGTTTTCCCATAAAACTCTGTGTTACAGACAAGTGTTTTCACGAAATATTATCTCGCTAAGATAGATGGATCGGAGGGTAACTTGCTTATAGTTCATACTTTCAGCTATTATTTTAAACATCTCAAGTCTAATGGAGGGCGGGAGCTGGAACAGTTCCGAGAATTGAGGTCGCCCACGTATATCGTAAAGGCCCATTACCCAATACAGTGAACTCTCATCTACCATTTGTTATGTAGTAAGAAAGGTCAACAGCACGATTTGCTCTCAGAGCTGAGGTTGCCCTAAATGAAAGAGGTTCACTAAACGAAAGACATCCTTACCTCTAGAGTTATTGGAACTGACATATAGATTCATCACAATAACTTTTATGAGAATTACCATGAATGACAACATGACAAATATAAATCAGCGATATATGTCATATTTACCTTCCCACAAGCACGGCAATGATGTCGACGTTTAATGACATTAAATTTCACGTCACATAACATGCAATTAGCTGCGGCACCATCTGGTATCCAGAATGGTGGCTGCTTTCCAAGTACGATGCCAAATTCCATCGATGAATGATCAGATGGGTCTGGGGACTGTTCATGAGGAAGTTCCCTCGGTTCTTCAATTGCTATATTATCATGGTCATGTGGACACATCCCTGATCTTGAAGGAAGATTTAGTGCCCTATCTTGCGAACCTAAATATAAATATTAAGTGCTACTATCATCATCCAATATATTATTATTAATGTTTATGTAGTACATATGAAGACTAAAACCTAAATGAAATAGAGAGCATTTACTAGCAAATTTTACTATCTTTCCAGGTGTTTCTTAAACCAAATTCCATTTAAAATCATGATTCGACATAGATATTTCTGACTTTGATAAACGAAAGTTCATTAATTTATTATTTTTTCACTGTATTCCTTTAGTCATTTTTTACTTAAAAAATTTAAATGTTCAAATTTTTCATGTCAGGATAATAAATTTTGGTGGGAAACCTCCGTCTACGATATTTTTCAATTTTAGGCATATGTACGTACGTACGTGCTAATGTGTGTTACTATGTATGTATGTATTATAACGCACTATTTTAGGAAGTTCGACCATTCAGCGGTCCTTTAAATTGTCTGAACGGGAAGTTACACTTGTGGTGAGATGAGCGTCATTTTCTAATTTTTTTTTACCTTTTTATATAATTAATATGTGATTTTGTACTGACTCGATTTTGGCCGCTTATCGAAATTCTTCATCAGACATTTCTAGAGTTCTCATCCATACTTCCCTGACTTTTAAGCAATGAATATGGGAATGAGAGATCTGAGTGTTCCATGGTGGGATAGAATCGCTCGGCGAGATCGATGAGTGGCGCCTACATAGGGAATCCCCAAATTGAGAAGCATAGGCCGAGTTCAAATGTCTAGGATTCTGTCTAGGCAATATTACATCTTCGAAATGCTTGGTTTCATCGAGATTTGCGGGGATTTAATTAAAGAATGATGACATTGCAGACGCAGTTTGATTTATGTTTACGAAGCTATTAACTCTAATAGCATCTCGGGTCTCTCTAAACCCCTTGACTGGGGTGCGGAGAGCGCGGCTGAGCCACCAACCGAGCGCGTCTCCGGGTGGTGGATAGGACGACGGCCGGGCGGAATAACCACCTCGGCGGAGGCCGGGACAGAGATGTCTCGAACTCTGCGCGGGGCTGGCTAAAAACCAGGTTAATGGGGAACATAAGGCCGAATGAAACGTGGGAAACCACAAGGGAAGCGGAAAAACCCCATCGCGAACCAGCTCCCCCAAGCTACGGTGTATGATACCGTGCCAACGGCTGCATGGTGCAGGGGAAGTTGCATCTCAAACGGTTCCTTCGGATACCAGGCGACCTCCGAGCGTAAGCAGCCAAGCCCCAGGCATACACGGCTCTGCCTGGGTGATACCGCATTACCGTGGTACTCGTGGGACTTTATATGGAGACCAAAAAACAAAAAGAAATAAAAAAACCATCTGGGACGGAAGAACCCCAGAATACTGGACCTGGTGGAGAACAACCCAGGGGAAAAAAACTAAGTGGCGCGTCAAGGCGTCGGTTCCAGAAGGAGAGAAGGGCTAACCTAACCTCAAGCACTCCTTCTGGAAGAAACAAGGGTGAGAGTAGGGGCGAGGGAATGTCAAGGGGAGCAGCCGCGAAACGGCTGAGAGCCGATGGCACCCCAAGACCTTACAACACGCGACCTAAGAAAAGGCCCAAGACTGATCTTGGCACCTACGCTCAGGTCGCGAAGAAAATGATCAGGTGGGCTCTCGTCCCAGAGAACTACCCAGATCGAAAAATCACACCTGAAGAAATCAAGGGCCTGAAGGGACTACTTAGGTCCCAGATCCTCTCCCTACCAGAGGGGACTAAGGCACCGACTTTTGAAGGTGTGTGGGAGAGGGACGGGGCAGCCATTGTCGGCTGTACCGACGAAGAAACGGGAAACTGGCTGAAAGGACTGTTCCCCGAAAACAAAATTGGGTACCTCGTACTCAACACTAGCTGGCGCTTAGGAAAGCGTGGAACAAGGTGAAGACCGCGTACACGGAAAACAGCAGGCAGAAGGCCCTCGAAGATCGCAGAGATCTTCAGAGGAAATATAATAAAGCAGTCGTAATAGTCAAAAACGAGGGCTGGAAGAAATTTAGCAGTGGGGTGGAGAGCCAATCTGAAGCTTCAAGGCTGGTAAAGATTCTAGGAGGACAGGGCGCTTCTAATGTGGGTTGTCTCATCAAACCGCATGGAAGCTATACCTGGACTACAGAAGAAACTCTCCAACTGCTGCTAGAAGAGCACTTCTCGGGGTTTACGAACTTGGGGGATATGAGACAAGGAACAGAAACCTGTAGAGGCACCTACAAGCCGCATGGGCCTTGGCATCTAAGATAGTCCACCCGCAAGGGGTAGAGTGGGCTGTCAACACCTTTGAACCCCTAAAGGCACCGGGACCCGATGGAGTCCACCCAATCCTCTTGCAGAGGGGGATCGACATTATTCTGGGACCCTTAACGAAAATACATAGGGCAAGCATAGCACTAAGGACTGTACCAAAAGTCTGGGGGAGATCGAGGATTGCCTTCATCCCCAAACCTGGAAAGAACGGGCATATCAAACCCAGGGACTTCAGACCCATCAGCCTCACCTCCTTCATCTTGAAGACACTGGAAAGACTGGTGAATCACGACATAAAGAGCTCACTGCTTGTTGAGAAACCCCTATTACCCTCACAGTATGCCGACTGGGCAGGCAGGTCGACGGAAACGGCCCTGCATCACCTAATGGCCAAGAGTGAGGAGCAGACAGAGGGAAAGGGCTACGCACTCAGCCTATTCCTGGACATCGAGGGCG